AGGGGGCTCAGGGCAGGCCGTACCGGAATCCCTGCTCCCGGATGGCGAAGGCGGGCGTCTCCAGCGGGAAGATCTCGGACTGGACGAAGAGCTCCCGGACGCGCCGGTCGATGACCTTCCCGTACTGCGCCCCCGCGTCCAGGATCACCACGGCCCCCTCGTAGTGGTGCTGCCCATCCTTGAGCTCTCCCCCGGCGTTCTCGGGCTGCGAACGGCACCCACGGCAGCTTCCATCAGCTTCCCAAACCAGAAAGGTTGGAAAGGGCCGTGGTGATCATCAAGTCCAACCATCAGCCCAACACCACCACCACCACGTTCACCTTAAACCTCATCCATCCCCAAGTGCCACATCCACACGTTTCTCGAACACTTCCAGGGATGGCGACGGCACCGCCGCCCCGGGCAGCCTGTGCCAGCGCTTTACAACCCTTCCCACAAAGAAATTTCTCCTAATATCCAATCCAGACCTCCCCTGGCTTCACAGTGACACGCCGCAGACCGCAGACTAAGCCAGACCTCTTCAACAACCAACATCTGCAAAGCTTTGCTAATTAGCTTATGCTAATTCATGATTAAAATGATAAAGGCTAGCCAAGAAACTTCTAAATGAAAAAAATCCTCGAGTTTATGAGGACCGTGAGATGCACTGGCACAGCACATCCCTCCCAAACAGCCACACAAACACGACATCCCCATCCCCCAAACCAAACAGGGCACAAATTAGGGAAGAAAAATGCTAATACGCTAATGAAGGCAGGGCTTTCCATAAATAAGAGCTCATATGCTCTGTTCACCATCTGCAGCCACTGCAGCTTTTTCTGTTTCCAGTTCCACATAAACCCCAGCACAGCCCATGGTAAGTAAGAGCATGTGCCTTTTTCTCAGGCAAACCAGCTCAAAGTCAGAAGGAAAATGTTTTTCCCCATCATAGGCTGAACTTTCACTTGACATTACCTCCTGGGGAGGATAAAAAAGGAGAAATTGAGAACAAATGTCACTGCTAAATCATTTTTAAAGAAGTCTGCATTCAAGCAGATTGCACATCAGAACAAAGCACTGGTTCTCTCTGAGTCCATCATGTCTGAATTGGCTGGCCAACTCCAACTCTGAAAGAGGGCTAAAAAGCACAAGAAGTTTCTTTAAAAAAAAAAAAAAAGTGAAAAGAGGCCGCTATTCCATGGAAGTGTCCTTCCTGGGGGATATTCAAGGAAGAATGAACACAACCACGCTCTAAGACACCTGAAAATTCATGCAGAAAAAAATTTTGCTGCTTGAAGAAATTACTCTGGGGTGTTTTTCTCTTAACTTAAAGCTCATACTGCTTCCTGGTCAATGCAGTTTGATGAAGGAAAAACTGGGAAGGATTTTACCTGGGAAACCTGCCTCCAAGCACATCTTGGAGCTTCATCTCAAGTTTTAATGATGGCATGTTGAGTTGTTCTGCATGTTTCTACCATGCAGCAGAACCTCCAACCCAGGACTCACCAGTTTTCCCACCACAGGCACTTCCACCTGGGTCAGGGAATCACCCCCACCTCAACCACAGGTCACCCCAGAGAGCACCACCCTGCTGGGACACATCTCCCAACAAACACACTGCACAGGCTGCTCTGAGCTTTAGTGCTCAGCTACCACAAGACATCTCAGGTAACTGTCCTCAGACCAGCCCAGGAAGGCAAACATGCTCAAAACTTCCAAAGTTTACATTCAGTGGAAGAGGTTTTATCTTAATTAAAGGACATGAACGGGAAAAAAAATAATGCTAAACCCCTCAAATGCCTAAATCCCATTTACAATCAGATCCTCAGTTTCTGTCCTTTAGCTCGTGGCTGAGTGTGCCTGACAGGGAGCTCTGGATGACTTTTAGTCTTGGGTTACACACCAAAAAGGGCATGTGTTGGAGGAGAACAGACTTCAGCAGCATGGCCCCTTCAAACCCCCAGTCAGATGGAGAGAGGTCAGAGCTGTCCTCCCTTCCAGTGGATGGGAGGAAATCACTTTTACAGTGATTCTGGGCATTTTCACCTCGCAATTTCTAAACCAGAAGTTTGCAAAAATGACCAACACCCTCCTTCTTTCCTGAGCCCTCCTTGGGGCAAAACACCATTTCCTTGCAGTTTTTATTTAAAGTCTTTAATTGTTTCAGAGCAGTAGGTTCAGACAAGCAGAACTGTAAGGAGGTTCAGGTCTGAAGAGAGCCCAAAAGCAACTCTGCCATAAATCACAGGGAAGAAGAGGAAGGCGGAAAGTCAGCACAGGGTCTGGCTTCACTTATTCAGAGGCACAATTCCAACGCTGGGGATTTTGAACCCAAATTTAACAAGGGAAACTTCATTTAATAAAATCCAAAAGGGAACAGATGCTGCTAACGTGCAGCCAACATGGCAGTTGAGCCTTGTACACCACACGTCTGCCAGGAGAGAGATTAAGAGGACACCAGACAGCCCAGCTCCTGCAGGGACGGGGCTTACGGAGCCAGCACCTCTTCCTACTGGGGGCTGGCCAGTCTCTAATAAAAGCTCTTTTTCCCCTCAGTAGAGGGATAACTAGAGTTCCTTGTCTTCTGGTCTATTCTCACAAAAATCTGGAAAACTCGCTATTTTTGGGACCTTCTGTGGAAGCTGCTCTGACAGCTGTCCAAGGGCAGGGGCACCGTGCTGATGTCCTGAGAGTGGGACTGAAACCAGGACGGAACTGGTGCACACCAAGAGAAAAAGGGGTGGGGAAAGCCTGTATTGAGCTAATTCAAATCTCAAGGCACCCTGAAAACCACAGCCCTCTGTCTCACAGACCCGAAATGTGGCACCCAGGTCCTTCCTCCCTCATCTCAGCTCTACCCTCCCCATCATCGTTGGAAGACAAAAATCTTCCAACATCGCTGGGTTTTTTTGGGTCAAAACCAAGTAATTCTGAGTTCTGTGATGAGCTGTGGTAGGAGACCTGCCACCAGGCTTACACTACCTGCTGAGGACACCACAAATCTTCTTCCTCACGTACCTACCTTCTTAGCACTTGAAACCAAGTTTGCAGGTTCCTAACAGCCCACTTGTGCAGAACCAGGGAGGTTTTTGGCATTTCACACACCCACATGCTCGCAGGATGCTCATTAATGCAATTTATAAACCACATTACCATACAGAACAGTCACATTCCGGGGTGCCAAGGAGCAGCAGAGCCCAGTCTGCAGCAGTGGCTCCTCTGTCCAAGCCATCAGCCCTGAGCTTTCGCCCACACCAATAACTCAGGACAAGCCTAAACCAGGAGCCTTGAACTCGCGCTTTCAAGCCAGCACAGGTTTTACAAGAGTTTAATTGCTTCCCTGTGGTATTAAAATTAAGCAAGTCTAAGAACACTCACTCATATTTCAAAGTATAACAGGACAGTAACTCCCTCCAACTCAGGCCACCCCCAAGACCAAGACAAGAGCCCCCAGCCCATTATGTGAGGGAAGCTTTAACAGATAGAAGCATCATGCATGTGTCCACGGGCTGCTGAGACCCAACCCTCATGGAAACCACTGTCATTTTCTCCATCATCTGTGTTTCCTGTGAGAGCACAGGTTGTGGAGGATGAGCCATGAGCTCCACATCCCTGGGAGGGAGCAGCCCCAGACAGGAGAGCAGGTTGTGTCCTTGGCTGGGGAAAAGCGCGTCTGCAAACTCAAGCAGAGACCAACCGAGCACGCAAAAACCCCCTCCAGAATCACAGTCTTCTTGCAAACTAGATAAAGGGCCCAGAACCAGGGAGAAGAGGAGCCCCCAGGAGCAGCCCCGGCTGCATGCACGGCTAGGGAAATAAGTGTCAGAAAACTTACGCAGGGACCAAGTGAGCGCCCTAAGAACTGAGCGCCCAAAAACCCTCTCAGGGTCGCGTTTTCGAGCAAAGCCCAGAAGGAGGGTTTTAACGCCGCCACAGAAGCGGCTCCAGGCAGCTCGCAAGGGCTCGGCTCAGAAGTTGAATTACCAACAAAAGCTCTGATTTCCCAAAGGCTCACGAGTCAC